GGTGTTAGTACAGCCTTACATGTCAAGATGGGTGAATCTAAATGCAGAGACCGAAGCTGAAGGTGGTTTGTTGTATATTTATTTGTCCAAAAAAGGCAACAGAAGCGAAAATCCAAAAACATAAATGCACAAAATCCAAAAATACTGAAAACCAGGAATACTGACAACAAGAGGGCAAAGAAATGATGACAATCCAGCAAACAGTGACTGAGCAGGAGGTGTATGCGTGGGAGACAGAAACTAAGGCTACGTTCACACTGCAGGCCTTGATGCTCAATTCCCATTTTTTTGTGAAATCCATTTTTTTTCACGTTGTCGTTCATCTTTCCAAATATATGTGACTTGTATGCAGTGATGGGAGTAACGGCGTTGAAAGTAACGGCGTTACTAAGGCCGCTACCTTCTTTAGTAACGAGTAATCAAAACTATTACTCTTACTGTAACTATAACGCAGTTACAATTGCCGACACCCCGTTACTGCACGTTACTCAGGTCGCACAATTAACCTTTTTTCATGATAGGACTCGTCCGCGAGTCATGAGAGAGGGGAGGATGGAGAGTGAGGAGGACTCCAGCGGCAAAACAGCGTTTTCCAGATGGAAATATCGGTGTTACGTCGAGCTGCGTTTCCCCATCAGATACGGTTTCCCCTGCATCTCATCATCATCATTAGCCTATATGGAGAAAGGGAGAAATATGGATGGATGGATGGATGGATGGATGGATGGATGGATGGATGGATGGATGGACGGACGGACGGACGGATGGAGCTACATGTTGCAGTATCTATAACAACCCAAACACATGATTTCAGAATTAGACATCCCCAGTTATTAATTTCATACACTCGCAAAAGTAACGCAATAGATACTTTTACTACTAACTAGTTACTTTTATTGTGGAGTAACTCAGTTACTAACTCAGTTACTTTTTGGGAGAAGTAACTAGTAACTATAACTAATTACCTTTTCAAAGTAACGTGCCCAACACTGCTTGTATGTGATGTGTGAACTGCAGTTATAGGACACAAGTGTTCCGCATGCGCAGTAGAGGACCCGATGACGTCACAGGCTAGCGTGCTCTTTTTTTCCGGAAGTGAATATGGATAGTAATGCCGGCACACATCTAGCTGTCTTTTTCAACCATAAAAACACAATATTTTCAATATGCTCAAACATGAATACTGCTCTCCGCATCATCATGGTTGTTGATTTTCTGTCTGCTTCGGCGTAGCAAGACACATAATAGTGACCTTCGTCAAGTTGTGATGTTCAGGTCGGAAGAATCTGACCTGGCCGTTCAGACACAGGTCGCATTTGAAAAGATCAGATTCGTATCGGATTCAGGACCACATAGCCAAGTGGCCTGGGTCACTTTGGAAAAAATTGGATCTGTGTTGGTCAGACAGCCATGAAAAGATCAGATCCAGGTCGCATATGGGCCAAAAAATCGGATTTGAGTCACTTCAGGCTGCAGTGTGAACGTAGCCCAAGATCAGGATAATCAGCAGATTGGGAGCAGGTGTGGACAGAGGAGTCTAGAAGGGAGCTAGGGGAAAGAAGATTGGCACAAGAGGACAGACAAAACATGCCAAATAACTCAGATACAATCAAATATAACTCGAACCACAAAATGGAACTAAAACCAATGAAAACTCAAAGATAAAACTCGACTTTACAAGCAAATTATTTTTGGACAGTAGACTGCAAAATGTTTCACCGTGAAATGAGGAAAGAAAGAAATGCTAGTGACCTTTTTGATATGAGATTCAAATGACAGGTCCTGATCAAAAATAACACCAAGATTTTTTACTTTATAATCTGAGATCAACTTATTCCCATCCAATTGAAGTGACTGACTAATCAGCTTCTGTTTCAAAGGCTCTGGTCAAAAGACTATAAGGTGCAATGGCGCATTCCATTAAAAATAGTACCATGGTCTGTTAAGTCACGTGACTTTCCTGTTCACACTGTATTTAAAGTTAAATACTGTAATAAAATTGTTGAATGCTGTAGAAACCTTGCAGTTTTTACTGTGTTGCTTCGATATTACAGACCTAGATGTGATATTACAGTTTGTTTTTTAAATGTAGACTTTTAATGTAAAATAAGAATTAAATGCTGTAAAATCCAGAGATACTGTAGTTCTTACAGGTATTCATTGGGACACGTTGCAGTGGAATAATACATTTAATTATTGCAGTAACCTAGTAATTTCCAACTGTATTGTTTTTTATGTGAACAGGACAAAGAGAGACAGAGCACGATCCGAAAAGTGTTGCTTATCCTTTATATTTTCATGTTACCCAGAAAGTGTAAGGGTTTTTCTCATTTTCATTTTGAATTCATGTGGACTTGTTTAGTGTGAACAGAATGTGAGTTTATGCTGTTTTTTTCTGTCTTTTATTTGCTAAATATATAGGAATTATTATCCCAGGGAGAAAAAAATGTAAAATGGGCACACTCAGCCATTTTGGTCACCCCTAGCTCCACCCCTGTAATAAGAAAGATTTTAAAGGAATAGTACACCCAAAACATGATTAGCCTTCATTTTCTACTCACCCCCATGCTGAACAACACTCTGGAGTACTTTTTTGATATCTCAAATGCATCTGGAGATCTGGGAGGCTTCTTGCTGTCTGCAAAAGTCCACAAAAAACATGTAAATATTCCTCCATACTGCTCGTCCAATGTTTTCCAAGTGTCCTGAGTGGGTAGCATCCAGAATTTACTCGAAAC